TCCCTGGGATTCAAAATTAGGGTGAGGGAATGGTAATTGCCGTAGCAGAAATAGTTTTTAAAAATCCTCAACATTACAAAGTAGTAGGAGACCAATCTGAAAAAAACAATATTCTCTAACACCTTTTCCTTCCTTGGCTGTAATGTATTGTTGCTTCCCTAAAAATTGCTGCCTCTTGCCCCTTTTTATCTTTATTTTGTCCCTTCAACTGTCCTTCCAGTTCCTCCTTAACTCATTTCTCTTATGTTTTTTGTCTTTCTTTCTGTCTGTACTCTCTTCTGTATTTCAGACTGCCACCAATGCTCCTTTCCCTTTCTACCTTTTGTTATTTCTTTCCCGTCCACTTTATTTTTGCTCTCCCTGCCTCCCCATCTCCCTCCCACCCCACTTCTTCTTCTGTTCCAGTTTCTTGGGCTTGCTTTTTCTCTCTAGTGTTCTTTTCTGCCCTGGTCTCTCTTTTTTTCCCCTTTGTATTGATCTCACCATTTTTTCCCTCCACTGCGACTTCTTTTTCCCTCTGCCTTTTTTTGTTGTTAGAGCATTGTTCATTCCAGTTTCTCTCCTCTCAGTCTCTGTAGCTGATCGGGGGGGCATGCGAGCTGGTGATCAAAGGGACTGTGAGACCAGAATTGTCAGGGTATAGCACTCCTATGGGTGTTCAGCACCTACCACACTGAAACCTCCAAAGCATGACTGAGGCCTACAGGTGCAACAGCAAAGCAAATCCTAAATATTCACACAAGTAAATATTGGTGGAGGTATAATCAGACAGTGAAAGGAGATATCTGCCAGATAATGCAGGGTCAAGATTGAGGCAAGAGAAGATGCAGTTAGCAGTTAAGTGGGGTGGGTGACATCATTAGTACTAAATTTTTCTTGTAATAATAATGCCATAAAAATGTCATGTATCAGACAAGATTACAAATACTGAGGCAGAAATATTTTTGGTTGTTACAGCTGAGCTTTCTTTCCTTGCTGGTATTTTCAGCAACTTGCTAAGCAAACATGCTTATTGTCTGACTCTTTTGATTGCTGCCATAACCAGGAAGATCAGGGAAACAAAGATAAAATAAAGTTATTATCAACAGAATGTATAGCATTCTGTTTTGCAGCAGGGAAAGATTTGCTAATCCATAAAAAGTGTATTATGAATATACTAAAGAATGTATAGAATGAGGAATTTTTTCTTCCTGTTTTTGTAGTAAAATCAAACACTTACAGTAATCAGTGCCTCTAAAAGATCAGTTTCTGTAACTGTAAAATTTGCATCCACAAATTTAGCTTGGTAAAGCCTCTTCCATCTTCTCTGCTTGTAAAAACACAGTATGTGTCATGCCTTCCTTATTCTGCACAGTGCATGTGAAAAGATGGATGCTAGAATGGAGGTAGAAAGAAGAGCATTCTACAGCTGTTTTCATATTGATTACTCAAATTGCCATTTAATTTGCTGGATAGTACTACACGGTACCTTAACTATTTTTCATGCATTCTTATTGATTGTGGTAATTGTGCCTTGCCTTATATGCATATATGGTGTCACCATTGAATATTTATGCACTCATGAAATGTTAATATGTTGGGTTAATATGAAGCTCAACAAAACATGTTTTCCAAGAGCAGTGATATAGCTGAGAACAATGCCCTTCCTCCCCCCTTTTCATTTTGCCTCCTCATTCATCTTTTTACCTGCTCTCCTTAGCTGTTTCTAAATCTGTGTGAGAAGTGCCCCCCCTTCTCACTTATGCAGATTTTATTTTGTATTATAAGAGAAGAAGAAAAAAACCCATAAGTCATTTCAGTGATGTGAGACATAGCGTTGCAGTTTATTTGCATCATTCTACCACGACTCCTATACTTGGGTAAGGGAGTGGAGTACTTTCCGTTGCAAAGATCTCTAAAGCAGGATGACTCATCCTCAGTGCACAGTGGAGGTGTTCACGTGTTCCTGAAAGGTGGCTATAGGAATGCAAAAAAGAAATTGCAGGGGTGTTTCTTTGATTTAGTAGAGCTGCTATCCAGGTATTATACTGAACAATTAGATGTAATTTAAACCCCAACTTTTAGCATAAAAAGTAATTCCACTAGGCAAAGCACTGAACCACTCAGTAGCCAAGAGACTGCCTGCCTTTCTTCCTATGTACCACTGATACTGTCTCAGTCCTGTTAGGGGTCATAAACAAAAGAGTCTGAATGCCTGGAGGGATGTGGGAGAGTTCTTTTATATGACCTTGGGTCCCTTCTTGTGGATTTAGGGTTGGAATCCATAGAGTTCTATAGAAATCTTAATAAGAACCAATATAATCAATGAAATGTAGGGTTTATTGTCCTATAGTATTCTCTGGCTTCATTCTTCATATGTACATTTAATTTTCTATGAGCGCAAGGTCATACTGATAGATGTTCTTTAAGGTAGGAGGCAAGAGTGAAATCCTGCTCCCTGCAAGTCAGTGGAATTTTTGTCATTGACTTGAACAGAGCCAGGATTTAATCCCTGAATTCTTGCCTTATATTCATATATGGTATGTATGCATATACACCCTTCTCCACTTGTCTGAGGGAGGCATGGTTCTTTGGGTAGATGTGATATCTGTTATTAGACCAACTAAATAGTTGGGGAAAAGTTCTTTGCAAGCTTTTGAGCACAAACACCCTTCGCCAGGCATAGGGAGACTGCTGCCGTTATGTGTTCTCCAAGGTAGAAAAGATGCTAATTTACAACATGCAAGTTTGTGAACATACTCAGAGAAGTGGTATGATTAAGGGGCTGGACCACTGGACTGGTGCTTAAAAGACGAGTATTTTGCTCATGTTCATGACTGGGTGACCTTAGGCAAGTCACACCTCTGTACCTCTGCTTCCTCCATCTGTAAAAGTGAGTAATTATGGTTTCTCAGTGTTTAAGACACCTTGGCTAGAAAAGGACATTGACAAATGAAGCATATCAGCTGGGCTGGGATGTGTCCCAGCATTGGAGATGATCCACTTTATTGGAGGAAATGCACATTGCCTTTTTTCCTTCCTGGTGAGGCGAGACAGGGCTTTAGGGGCCCAGTCCTGTAACCCACAAGCCCAGGAAGTTCCTGCCTGGCTTTCCCCACTTAGAGACATGCACCTGGGATTTCCAGGGTCCATCTCCATAAGCAGAAAAATTCAAGGTTTCACCACTTAAGGAGCCATGCTCCAAATATCCCAGAGATGCATCTTGGTAAGAAGGGAATCTTAGACTTTTCCTGCTTATGGAGACGCATCCTGGGTAGTCTCAGGGGCACATCTATGTAAGAGGGGGAAAGCCGGGTAAGTGCTCCCAAGTCTTTAGGGGTCCAGTCCTTCATGGGAATTACTGGGATGTGCAGGATTGGGCACTTTGAGCCCCCAGAGCACCTACCTGGGTGGGATGCCTTCAGAGTGCTGGCAGCTCAGAACTGCGACTGCTCTTGTGTCATAAAATAAACAGAGGTCTGCTGTTAAATAGCAGCACAAATTAAAAACCTTTTGTCGTGGCCACAAACTTTGGGCATTTGTGGTATGACATGGGGTGTGGATGTCTGTTTGCTTGGCCTTTGTGCTCCCATCAAAATGTTTAGGTCAGGAGAAAGGTGACTTAAGGCGGCCCCTGTTTCCACCCTTTGAGATCTACTGACGAAAAATGCTGTATAGGCGGTATATTTCTATCTTCTGTGTTGAAGGGTCTGTGTGAGAAGCAACTGCTTTTTTGTTCATTTCTTGAAAGAACATCTTTTTTTGGGGTTTGTGACAAAAATAGTCAGGGGCATGATGCAGTTGCCACACCAGGAGACATTGAAAAGGCTAAAAAACTGCCCCGTGCTATTTTAAAGAAGACTTTTCAAACAAGGGAGATAACAGATAAGATGCATTGGGTGGGAAAGTGAGTTGGGGAAAACGCTACCAAGGGGAGTACAGCAGATAAACACCTGTTTATGAAGAAAATTCACAGGGCCTCTGAGGTCCTATTGTACTTCAGAAAAATCTGCTTTTGAAGTATTTCTTCCTCTAGCCATGCAGCAGCTGTTCAGGACATGTGCTTTGTTTCTTTGTTAAAGCTTGTAGGAGAGGTTTTATCACAAAGCCAATGCTTAGTACAGAACCTACTTTGAATTATTTTCTTTTCATTTTCAGTCCTTAATCTGTCTTCCCTGTCTTGTACTCAAAATGAGAAATGAGCATCTCATAATTTAGGCAGACTCCATGGTATATTTATAGAGAATACCTTTATATGCTGGACAATGAGATCCTTGGTTGATTTGCAGGAGTGGGGCAGGTTCTAGCCCAAAGAAAATAAGTTGCATAATTTCACAAATTCTGTATTCTGTTGTTTTTGCACAGTTATCTTGGAGATAATAAGACTACTTGTTGAAGTTGGGTTTGCTTACGTCCATAGCATTTATACAATTACAAATGTTTTGTGCATCAAGAAAAGGTTTCCTTCACCATAGATGCAATTCTTACCCTGTTACCTTGTCTAAAATAGGATTTTTGGTATGTAGGCCTTTTTTAGATTCTGAACCCAGGTATATTCTTATTTTTAACATTTCTTTCAGTTTATTAAAACATAACTTTTTACACCTACCACAACATTAGATTGAAAAAAAAATCAACTTCTTGCTATTGACTTCTATCTCAACTTCTTCATGCAGGGAGATGGAACAAAAGTATCATGTTGCACTGGAGTGACATGGCTTCCAAAATACACATCTGTACATTGAGTGATATTCCATGTGTTTTGTTCAATCTACCAGCTCCATGAGGCAGTGGTGGTGAAACAGGAATAGGGGGATGTCTTCCTTTTCCCCCCGCCAGAATTATTCATGACATTGTTTTAACTTCTAGTTTGAAGGAAGATTCTTAGTTTACAATAACAAATTAACTTTATAATCTACACCCCTAATACAGATGCTTACTAAATATCCTGAAGAAAGAGACAATTCATCAATACCTGTATCTTGTGCATAAATTAACTTCCTTTCTGATTTCCATTTTAGATTGTCTTGGAAAATAGTAGCCGAGAAGACAAACATGAATGCCCATTTGGCCGAAGTAGCATTGAGCTGACAAAGATGCTGTGTGAAATATTGAAAGTAGGAGAACTACGTAAGTCTGACCTGTTTGCTTGACCAAATTTTGTTTCTGTGGTGATTATATGGTGCCTGATAATTATGGAATAGACTGAATGGTGCATGCATTGAATTCCAAGAAAAGGTTTGCATTTATTTTATATGTGCTCATATGTAGAATGTTGCTTGTATTCTAAGTTATTATATTATTTCTTGTTTTTTGACTAAATGTGGGTATTATCAAATGTAAATCTAGTGGGGCAAATTTGCACCCTGGCTGTGAAACTTTGCTATCTGATGCAGTATGATTACCAGCTTTTCTCCAGAGATGAGTGCATTTCAGGTGCAGTGGGCAATATTTATACTCTCCAAATAGGTGGCATAATTTTTTCATCCTCAGGTAGATTGATGACCATTTACTTGTGTGAGTTGTCCCACTGAAATTTGTGGTTCCCATCTAAGTTTGCACAAGCAATTCCATAATTTGTAAATTCTTAGAGTATTTATTGCTCCACATAAATGTTACATACTTTGTATGTAAATTACTTGTAACTATGAAATGAAAAGCGACAAAATAATTATACAAAAGTAAGCAAATTTCAAGTTTCAATTAGATTTCAGGGGTGTACTTGATAGCCGTGTTGGTCTGAGACAAAAAGACATACATAAAACTAGAACTCTTGGTTCCAAAATGATGCCTTTTATTAGACCAACTGGAAAATGGCAAGAAAATTGTCCTTTTCTGCAAGCTTTCAGGATCAAAGGCCCTTTGTGAGGCTCTGGGAAAAGTACAGATGGTACAAGATGGTAAAAAGTCCCCATAGTTAAGAAATAAGCCTCATTTTTGCATAGAGGGAGCTGAAGATGGAAGGCCGTCCCTCTGGGTCCATGAGAGTGTCTTTGTGAGCTGTGTTGAGTAGCTCTTTGATGTGTTGATCAGGTAGAATTCCTTCCCTGTAGGTGTCAGCTGGCAGGCAGGGAGGTAAAAAAAATTCCTTGTTATTCTGCTGTGAAGTTTAAAATCCAAAATAGGCTAAAATTCAGCTCTTCCATGCTTCAGGGGTGTACTTGGGAGCCGTGTTGGTCTGAGACAAAAAGGCATTCAAAAAACTAGAACTCTTCATTCCAAAATGATACCTTTTATTAGACCAACTGGAAAATGTCAAGATAGAAGATGGAAAATGGCAAAATTGAAATGCCAACAGCCTTCCATCTTCAGCTCCCTCTGTGCAAAAATGAAGTTGATTTCCTACCTATGGGGACTTTTTACCATCTTATACCACCTATACTTTTCCAGAGCCTGACAAAGGGACTTTTATCCCAAAAGCTTGCAGAAAAGGACAGTTTCCTTGCCATTTTCCAGTTGGTCTAATAGAAGGTATCATTTTGGAACCAAGAGTTCTAGTTTTTTGTATGTCAGTTAGATTTGAGCACCCTACCTTGATAGTATCTCACTCAATGTATGTTTGTTTTTCTCATTTCTTAGTACAGTGTAGCAGTATTCAACTCCTAAGTGTATATCTATCACTGTAGTTACTGATGGTGATTATCACTATTACTGTCCTTGCCAACACACATTGCCCTGAGTTTCAATTCCATGCAGCACAATTTTGTCCTTTGATTTCTTCTGCTCCTGTTCCGTCTGCAATCTCTGTGAATTGAGTCTTTTCTCTACCCTTGTCCCTAAGCTCATTGCAGTTATGTGCAACCAACCTAGATGCAATGGAAAGGAGGAAATCAGGAGAGGTAATAATTTAGGTATTGCTTTGGTTCTTGTTCTTCAACGTATATCAGGGGCTCAGTTTAAAAAGTATGATTTGGGTGATATTTCAGCTAATGCTTCTAAGTGCAGCAGGCCAGAATAGTTGTTTACCAAAGGCAAATTTATCTCCTGTGCAGTATGGATGCACGTTACTAGAAACTTTCAGAAAGTAACATACTCAGAGGAATAGCATGGTGATCAGTTTTGAATCGCGCCATAAGAAGATCAGTAATACAAGATTGGGGGATAGTAAATGAAGAGTTTACTAAAGGGAGTTTAATGAAGGGACTGTGTTAGACGTACTAAAAATACATAACAATGGGAGTGGGATATGAGATAGAAGGTGAGTGTCTCCTCGCAAACAGTTTTACTGGTGATGGCTATTGCATATTTTTATTGTACCGCTCCTGATGCAAAGTCTCCTGCTTTTTAAATTTTGGGAAAAGCACATTGCATGTGTTTTGATGGTGTTTCTCATTCTGTACCTTAGTCTTGTCACATGCAGTTGTTAGCCTTCTAACTGCAAGTAAAAATCATGTGCAATAATATCAGTGACTGTTAGCACTATTATTGCTCCTCCTAACTGTGCTGTAACCACTCCAAAGCAGTCTAAAGGTATGGGGCATTAAAAAAAAACTTTTAGAGGTGGTGGTGGTGGGGTGCATTACAACAGAAAGAGGACAAGTTTTTCATTAATTTAAAAGCTATTTAATAATAATTAATTAAATATTTTGAGAGATTTTTCAAAAAAGCATGCATCCATTTGATAAATATTGATAGGAGAATGTTTCAGGAAAAGGAAAAATACAGAAGAGAGGAAGTATTGAGGGGTCCGAGCTGGCAAAAAGCTTAAGGGAGACTGGCTAGGCCAGGGGTAGGCAAAATGGCAGATCCGGCTGGTGGCTGGACTCCATTTCCCAGCAGCCCCCTGCCTGTGTGGCTCCCAGGCAGTCTCCATGGAGACCCTAGGAGCATGGGGTCATGACAGTGCAGGGCTGCAGAACTGGGGCTCTGCCCCAGCCTGACCCGGCCCCACACTCCTGGGGTCTTCATGGAGACTGGTCAGAGCTGCAGGGGAAGGACATGTGGCTGGATGGGGAGCTGCTTCAAGGCCAGGGCCAGGATCTTGGTGTGGTGACAGCGTGGAACCCAGGTCATGGCAGAGTGGCAATCTGTTCCACACACACCCCTGCCCATGGCACCTATACTCATTGCGGGGTTTTGAAGGCAGCAGATCATGGCTCTGCCCCTGCCCCAACCCCACATTATCACCACCCTGGCTTCACCTGCCCATCTCCCTCCTGGCTGCATGCCCATCCCAGGTGCCCAGCCTTGCCTGCATGGGTCCCAGTCCTGGTGATGGGTGTGGGTCGGATGGGCCGTGGTGCTTCGGCAGTGGGGCTGGATGTAGTAATGGCAGCCAGAATGAGCCATCACCACTGGGGCTTCTGGGAAATGGAGTCTGCCACAGACCTGATCCAGTCCATGGGTCGCCCACAACTAAGCTAGGCAGTAATAGGTGTAAAATATCTATAAGGAGGGTTAAGAACTGGAATAGATTACGTGGGGAGGTCATGGGATCTTTTTCATTGGAGAGTTTGAAGACAAATATCTTGATCCTGCTTAGAAGCAGGGGGAATGGATTAAATGTCCAGGCAGGATGGGTCCCTTTCATTCCTATGTCCTAGGATTGAATGGGAGTGTTTGAGATGGGAGCTAACATGTAGAGGGGCATAGTGGGCAGCAAGGCACTGGCTCATAATGGCCACTGCCTTGTGTGGTACTCTTTATTTGAGACATTTGCCAATTTTGAAGGCTTACAACTTTGAGTTGAATTTTTCAATGTCTGGGGTTCCTTTGTTCATGAGGGAGTGAAGTTTGAGCAAAAAAAGATTTTTCTTTTTTTCTTCAAAAAATCAGCCTATATGTGTATAAAGGGAACACATTGTTGTCATCTTAAAAATAAAAAAGGCATAATTTTTTTTGAGCTGTAATTATAGTTTAAATGTGTGGGGGTAAAAAAATTACCATTTGTACAAAAATAGCTATGGCTGAAAGGAATTACCTTTTAAATTTTCTAATGAAATTTGATTTTGCTTTGGCCAAATAATGATCTCGTTGGAAAATAGATACTGTGCACCCAGTTTGAGTTTGTGCAAGTCTCTTTGCTAAGCAAGCAGCCAAAGTCCAATATTGAAAAACAAAGAATCAGTTCTTCAGTAGATGGAGATCAGAATAGCACCAGTGGCATCAATTAACTGAACAGTTTATACCAATCAAGGGTCTAGTCCAGGAAGTGATTGCATAATTAGAGACCGCATCATAGTGTGTACCCACAGGGGCCAGGGTAAGGTGGCCTAGGCAAGCTTAGATGTAACATTCCTTGCATCTTGAGTATGTATGTATATATGTATGTACATTCTTTTAATGTGCTTTGTTTATGTTGGGTATATATATGTCATTTTCAAAGATATGGTATCCAGTTTCTAATAATACCATATTTACTTGAATATAAGATGACCCTGAATTTAAGTCAACCCCTTAGATGCCACACAAGAAAAAAATAATTTGGTATTTTTAAAATAATTTTGGTATTATTATTACTGTTTTTATACCTAGTCAGCCAATACCTATTTTTATACCAGACCTACTGACAAAAACTATAGCAATACCAGTAAATTATAAGTTCAACATCAACTTCAATTCAATTCAAACATTATCTTAACTTATATTAGGTTCTGTCCAGAACCTGGGAAGTGCTACAATTCTTAGATGCTGCAATTTAGGACCAGTCACTTTTGCATGCATCTTCACTCTTCACTGTTCTCATCTTCTCTCTCATCTTCCCACAAAACATTTTCTTTAATTCCATCCATGGCACTGAATACACAGTACTTTTTGAACCCTTTGGTAATGGATTCTGAAGACATCCTTCCTTAAGAAGTTGGAGTCCATTGGCAAAGCAATGCTATGGTTGGCTTAATCTTCCCACCAGGTGTAAGCACATAGTTCCCTGCCAAGATCCAGTCCCGGTACTGATACTGAAAATGGCCCTTAAAGAGCATATTCACTGGCATCCAGTACTTGGAGTTGAGATGTTATACCAGGAGGTATGACTACAAGATCACAATTCATTGACCAAATTTCTGCTTTTACATCTAACACAGAGGGTGTTATATGCCCTTTCGCTGAATCTGACACTAACACTCCTATTTTCTTTAGCAATACCCCAGGTCTCCATTTCCACATAACATCTAACCAGTCATTCATCAGTT